CGCCAAGAGATGATAAACAGGAGGTATAGGTGTTGGCTGAGCTCCTCAGACAAAAGGGTGAAGATCACAGGAGAGGAGGATTCATCAGGTAAGGAAATGGTGGCTATTCCAAATGAAGATGACCCTAAGTTAGAGCTGCATTTATCTGTTAGAGTATCATGTTTTCCATGTGTCCATCAAATATGTTTCAAAAACTCCACCCTGATACAGAATACACAATCTTAATAAACTATCACACAGATTTATTTAAAAAAAAAAAAAACTATGTCTGCATCTAATGTATTTCTCCAAGGTTTTAACACATTACAGACCTGAACTAATTAAGTTAATTCCTTTAGTTTGATTACTATCTGAGTGACTTCCAAGTGCAAAGTAGTAGTGCCCTGCCAGCTGCCACGGGGGTTTCAGAGATGAGACGACAGCCAGCCCTGCCTGCCAGCAGCCTGGTCAGGAGCTTGCATGCAGATTAGGGAAGCTGTTCTCTTTCCCAAGTGTAGGGAGCAGAGCAACTTACAACTGAGGGCATACATCTTTCCAGCTACACATTTATAGGAAAGTGAGGATCATATTAATAGCCAGTGACTGCAGACAGTGCTATGCATTCATCTCCATGTTTATCCTGTCCTGGTTTACCCCCAAGCGCTCCTCTCATAATTGCATAACCGCAGCATGTCATGTTGTTTCTTACTGCAACTGTAACTTGTAAAATTAAACTTCAGAACTGAGACAGGCTGAATGATTGACTACTTTAAAAATATGTATATGTATAATTTACACACCACTTCAGATAAGCTCTTGAATTATGAGCCCTAAAAGTCAAAACTGTCACCCTTTTTTAAAATGCAGTTTTAGTATGACAGTTCTTCCTGCACAAAAGACCTACTCCTGTGTGTGCACGCTCGCGCATGCACACGCATGCATGAAGTTTTCTTTTTTTTTATTTTATTTGCATTGGTATTTTGCTATATTACATGTATGTCCTTGTGAGGATGTCAGATCGTGGAGTTACAGACAGTTGTGAGCTGCCATGTGGGTGCTAGGACTTGAACCCAGGTCCTCTGGAAGAGCAGTCAGCGCTCTTAACCACTGAGCTATCTCTCCAGCCCCGCATGAGGTTTTCTAAACAGTATTTTGTACTGTCTGTTACAATCTACTTTTCAGATTTTATTGAGAACAATTTACTTGCCCCACACTATGAAGTGATGTTTAAAGAAGAATCATGAAATAGTTTAAAATTCACATATTTGCTAAAAAAATATTCGTAATATAAAAATGACTTCTACTTGGGTCAGTGACATGGCTCATCGGATAAGAGTTCAAGCTATGAAGCCTGACAACCTGAGTTTGAACCCTGGGACCCACATGGTGCAGGAAGAAAACTGACTCTGGTAAGCTGTCCTCTACCCTCTGCACACACATGGACGTGTGCTCACAAACACACAATAAATAGAAAGGTTACTGAAAATACTTCTGCATACTAACGTAGAGCAGGATCAGAGAAACACCTGAACACCCACCATGTACACTGTGTGGGGTCTTCGCACCTGGATCATCTCCCATAACCCTCCACTCACTGTGGGGTGGAGTCTCCCCTGTCATCATTTCCAAAACAGTATTTTTGAAAAGATATACTTTTTCATGAAACTAAGTCTAAACCCTCCATTATCAGAGTGGGTTCTTATTTACTAGGTGTCTGGGTTGCTTTGCACAGTCAATAGGTTCCTGAAAAGTTGAAGGCGAATGAACTGTTTTGTGGAAATCATTTTCACGTAACATTGCATTGTAAGAACAAACGTGTCAAGCCTCCTCTCTGATTGACAGCCAGCAGGGTGCTGCTCAGAGGGCCAGCTCAGGGGCTCCAGTTCATTCCCGAACACAGCCTCAACCCCACAACTCTCCTGAGTTCAGGGTTCAGAGTTTAGCCAAGAGGCAATCCAGAATTAAACAGTTTAAACCAGTACCCACAGGCGAAGACCTCAGCAGCACAGCAGGGGGACAAATACATTCAGGAAAACAAAGCGATGCCACGCCCCCTCCATACCCAATTCTAACAAGCTGAAGGAAAGCAAAGCATTGTATCATAAGACAATGCAAGTCGAGCGTTTTTTTTTTTTTTTTTTTTTTTTAACTCACTTTCTTCTTCCATAGTGTCCGGCTAGAACTGCCAGCATAGTCTCTCCTTCGAGTTACCTTCAAACTAGGGCTAGAAGAAAACTTCAAAGGATACAAAAGCCCAGGCGTTTGTATCTAAATATGCCTGCCACAAAAGGCTACCAATTATAAAGATGTGTTCAAACGGAGCCCACTTAGGTCTCTCTGTATAAATCTCCCCTGCATCTCTCTGACTTAAGGGAAGCACAGAGACACTTAGCTTTTGACAACTTCGTTGATAAAGAGCATGCAGAAGTGGTCGAACAAGAGCCTAGAGCAAGCCACTCAGACACAACATGGAGCAAAGCCTGCTCAGCACCAAATCCAATACCGGACAAAAACACTTGCATCCTGGACATGGTACAAGTTGTGAACCATCTTCGTCCTCAGTGGCACGGTTGAGTCAGTCACAACAGGGACCCAATGAATGGAGTTCTCCATTCATCTCTTTTGACTCTTCAGGAGATTCAAGTCATTTAAGTGTGTGGTGGTGGTGGTGGTGGTGGTGGTGGTGGTGGTGGTGGTGGTAGTGGTGCTGTGTATGTGTGTGAGAGAGAGAGTGGGTGGAAGGGAAGAGAGGGAGTGGGAAGGCAAGAGGGAGAACCCAAGCACATCTGAAGGGTGGAGGACAACCTCAGGGGTCATCTTCAGGAACTTTGACCCCCTCCTTTGAGACAAGATCTCATCAAACCACATTACACAGTGCCCTATCAGCTCCCAGGAATCCATACAAAATGATTAAGGGAGGTAGGCTGGGAAAGTAAATTACTAGCCAAGAAAACAAAACTATAGGTTTTTGTTCAGCTTGGAGTGAAAACTTTTAGCCCTGAAGAAGGAAGCTGAGAACACTGAGATCCGTCTAGAATGAACTTTTTCCAGCTGGAGGATATGGACACTCTACCGCCCACGTGGACAGAGGGCAAAGTGGGGTTTAGGTTCTACACTAGAAGGGGTGTGTATGGAGAGAGTATTTTCCACATGAGGTGAGAGCTAAGCGGCAGAGGTAACTCGGCCCTCCTGAGACAGTCTCCCCTCCGAGGGGTCCAGAGCACTTCTCCTCCTTGCTTTCCTAATAGTCCGGCTCTCTGAACCTCGTTCGCACAGCGTCAAACATTAGAAGAGATTACACTTCCATACTGCACTTCTGAGCCCCCAAGAGCTAATGCGAGCCTAGCTTCCAATGCCTTTAAATATGCCGGGTTGTTCAATCCCAGGAACCCTTCCTTCCTTGTAAGTAGGAAAACAAAAACAGATGATGGAGTCCAGATTAATTTCCAAATCCCATCAACTGGATTTCCAGCCGGACAACACAGCACATACTCAGGCGATCACATGTGCCATCTGCAGAAGTATGGAAAGGGGGTAGAACCCCTACCATCCCCACCCCCGAATCTACACCTTGGACTTAACCGAACCTTCTTAACTATCACCCAGTCCCTCTGCCCCTCCCCCCATATCTGAAGTACTCCAGGCCCACTCCACCCAGTCCGTTTCATCCTGGTACCTAATTCTACCAAACTCAGATTATTCTCCTTGGGCAGAAAGTAAGCCCATGGCCTTGAATTGGAAGGGTGCTCCTTATAACCATGTGTGCAACCAGCTCGACAGTTCCCCACACGTTTCTAAAAGGGAAAAAAAAAAAGTCCTGCAGGAAATCTGTGGCCAGCCGGCCCCCTCCCAATGTCTGAGTCAGAGTAGAGCGTCTTCAGAGAGCTTCTGGCTGATCAGGGTGCATCACTTTCAGAGCTGCTCGGCAACTGAACTTATGGCTGTCTTCCAGCCACGCAGAACATAAGCTCTATTTTAAAACACTTTTCCCAACTCACAGACGATGAAGGTATCTCATAGGTTGACAACTTCCTACTGGAAACAAATCACTTCCCTCTCAAACTGTGCTTGCTAGCTCTCAAGATTCATGCCTGTTCGGCTGTGCATATTTTTCTCTCTGGCCATGCAACTCCATTAGCGAGGAAAGGCACCCCCAAATTTCATCAGCAAGCCTGAGCCATTCATGGCCTTCAGAAGAGGAATGAATGGGCAATGAAAGCTCTTCGGCCTAGAGACTTCTCCCACACAAACATTAAATATGGGGGGGGGGGATCTCTCTAGAGGGAGGGGGGCAGGGTGGATGATAAGGAAGGACATTAAGCAGCTGAGCAAAGGCAGCCCAGGAGCTGCCGCGGCACTTCTCGAACTGCCTGCAGAGAGGAGAAAACGCTGCTCATATAATATAACCAAGCACCCTCGGGCTGCCGCGCAAGGGCACGAATCATAAATACACCTAGGAAGGCAAACAGATATACAGAAAACAAGCCACCCCGAAAAGGTCAAAACTTCAGAAATTCGGGGGATCACATCACCCACATAAACGCACCATCAGTGGGAGCGAGAGAAGGGACTTGGAGACTTAGCAAAACATTCTAAATTTGGGTGGTTTTTTTTTTTTCCTTCCCAGCTCCTGCTTGCAAAGTAACAGTGGCTACGGGCAAAGCTAGAGAAGAGCAGGAAGGCTGAGGGCGGCGCGGGGTGCGGGTGGGAAGGGAGGGGTGTCTCACACGAGCCACCCAGGCCTCGATGTGACGAAAGTCGTCAGCAGCCTTAACCGCATCCCAGCCTCTCCACCCAGCTAGCAAGATGCCCCCCCTGCAGCTCCCCCAGCTTGGCTCCGGTCCCTTGCAGCGTGCAGCCCCGGCAGCCCCGCAGCAGCAGCGGCAGCAGCAGCAGCCCAGCCCGGGCAGAGTGCCGGCAAACGCCAGGATCGCGGCTCCCATCCCTTCGGCAGACACCCTACAGGCCTCCCTCCTCGCCCACCCGGGATGCCCAGCGCGCCGGCGGTGGCTCCCGCTTACCTTGGGCGCTCGCGGGGGGGGCTGAAGGTGGCAAGCCCCCCGCCCCCCGCCCCTGGCCTCCTCGCCCGTTCTCTTCCTCCCTCTTCCACGTCCTCCTCCTCCCCACAGTGTGGCCGGGGCTCCCCCTCCTCCCCGCCGCCTGGAGTAAAAGCAGAAAACCCCGGAGCCGGGCCCGCGTGCGTGAGTGCGGGAAGGCGGCGTGCGGCCAGCTCTCCAGTCACTGAGCGCGGCGCGCCGCTCGCAACTAAAGTGTGAAAGAAGCGGTGGCCGCGGCGGCCGCGCCACGGAACAGCCCCTCGGGAGTGGGCAGGGAGCGAGCGGGAGCTGGCAGACTCGAGCGAGGAGGGAGGGGACCTCCGCGCCCAGTCGCTCACTCGAGGGGCGGGGGCAGCCAGACACTCCCCCGCCGCCCGGCCCCTCCCCTCCCCGGCTCCCGCGCGCGTCCGGCTCTCCTCCCCCGGGGCGGGGCCTGCGGAGGGCGCGGGGCCGGGCGCGGCGATCCGGGAAGAGGGGCCCGGCGGCCGGGGCTGCGGGGAGGAAGGAGGGTAGGCAAGCTGGAGGTTGTCTGTCTGCTGTAGGGAGAAGGGGAGCGAGCTGTGTGTGTGTGTGTGTGTGTGTGTGTGTGTGTGTGTGTGTTGCAGGAAGGGCGGACTACACGTCTCTGTGGCGCGTGTGGGTGCAGCGGGAGGGGTGTGTGTGTGTGTGTGTGTGTGTGTGTGTGTGTGTGTGTGTAGCATGGAGGGCGAGGTGTGTCTGTCTGTGTGATTTCGCGCGCACCCTTGTCGGCGGGAGGGCAGACCCAAATAAGAAAGCTGTGTCTTGTCTGGCCTTCCCGGGGCCTGTCAGTTGGTGGCGTGGGAACCGACGGAGGCTTCACCGGAGAGAGGCAGGAGCCGGGAGGGGCGGGAGGAGGCACGTCCGTCCTGCAGATCCAGAGACCTGGATTCCGAGGGCTGCGCCGGCTCAAAGCTGTCTGGGGAAGGCTGCACAGCCTCGCCCTACCCCTCCCAAGCCGGGCTGGGCTGGCCGCAGCCAAGGCCACGAGGCCCGCCTCTGCTCGTCCCCACCTTGCCTCGGAGCTGCGGCGCTAGCAAGACGACTGAAGGAAGCGTCAGCGACTTGGTAAAAGCCAAAAGCTGCTGGGGGAAGCTGCGGATGCCCTGCACTGTTCTCCCCACCCTTCCGAGCCTCCTAGGACAGAAAGGGTGAGACCACGCCAGCTAAGATACTGACGAGGGACTCAGCTGTAAGATCATCCCCTGCAAACGGGCCAGTTCTTTGTGGACCCCCACAGGTCAACCAATTTCCTTCCCTTCCGGGAGGGGTATTTTTCTCCTCATCCCAGGCATACTGGGCATTTTGGCTGCACAATGAATTTATCTTTCTAGACCGATAGCCTGTGCACGTCTTTTGTGCGGCTTCCCCGCGCTTCACTGCTCCTTCAGGACCTTAGACACGTGAGGAATGCCAGGCCCCCGGAGCGAGGACACCCAAGAAAACAATAGGGGTGGAAGATCCTCCCCAGACCTCACCCGTCACACTCACACACAACCGAATCGCTTTTCACATTCAGATGAAATTGGAAGATGGAAAAAGACCCAGCTGTGACAGCGACGTGACGCTTAATTGAAAAGTAAATTCGAAATTCGGCTTAATGAAATGAGCTGAAAACCCACCCGTTAGTGTCTGGAAAATCAGCCTCTTTAGTTTTCAATTCAATTTTTTTTTCATTTTGTTCAACTTCAAAGTCTAAATATTACGTTGGTCGCAAGCCCAGCTTGGACTGCATTTTTTGTTTATATTTTTGTTTATATTTTAGTTTATTTTTCTGGATTGTAGACCAGCCCCTTGAAAGGGAGTGGCAAGGAAAGGAGAGTGCTTCTGGGGAATTTTTAAGAGCTTTTCTTTCTGCAAAATGGAGTTGATAGTGGCCTCTTCCTCATAAGAAAATAAATAAGGCAAGAAGAAAATAAACGGAGGCAGCATTTCGAGTAAGACACTCTGTGTCTAACGTAAGAAATAAATAAACAGGAGTGGTCATTTTCAATAACATTAAAAAACATTAACCCCAAATTTAGCATGCTGCTTTTTTTTTCTCTTCAAGTTCCTTCTTGAAGTGGGTGGATATTGGTGCTGAGTTTATCCAAATGTAGCCAACCGTTCTCAGGGGTGTTTAGGACATGCCCCTATTCTTCATTTTGGTAACAAAATGAAGGAACTACATAACCAATGTGCAGATGTATGTGTGTGTTTGGAGGACCGCGCGGTCTGTTCTCCACCTCCCTTTCCTTCCCTCCTCTGCACAGACCCCCTAGATGGCTGGAGCTCTTTGCTCTAGACCTCTTGTACCCTCTTCTGGTATCAGACAACGGCTGGTACTGGAGACTTCCTGAGCTGAAAGCGCTGAGGACTTGAAATCCTCTGAGGTAGCAGAAGGTCATGGAGCACACACTCTCATACCTGTCCTGCTCAAAGCCCATCCACTCTGTGGCCTTTTAATTAGCTTGAAAATTAGCCGAGGTATTACATGGTCCGTGTGATTTTGTTGTTTTGAGTGACAGTATCTCTGATAGCCTCCATTTGCCTTGAACTCTCTTCCAACTTCTTCCCAAAAGCTGAGATCTCTGGGATGTGTAACCACACCAGGATGTGAAGTTTTTGTGTTAAAAAAAAAAAACCAGCTAAATATGAAGGAAATAAAAGTCATAATTCCACCATCCAGAGAGAAGTACTTGGTAAGTGCTCCAAGCATGACTATATTTCTTTCATTTATTTTACTGTTCTTTGGTCAGCACAAGTTTATTAAGCACCTCATTAGGGGACCAGATAATTTATCAGGTCCCAGTTACAATACACCATTAGTGTTATTTGTTCCTCGCAGGAACTATTTGTTTGACTCTCACTGATGGGAACTCATTATTAAATGTCCATACTGACCACAGGCAATCTAGTTTCATAGGGTATGAAGCATTTACAATCTTGAGCCATTTTTAAGAAGGATTTTAAAAATACTTCGGAAGAGTCCATATACACGGAGATTATATGTAAGTCTCATGCAGATTTTAACAAGGTAACCCATTGGTAGTAGAATTCTTATAGAAATTAACCTCTTTGTTAAACATTACTTCAAAGTACATACCAGTTCCTTCTTTTTCATGGCGTCTCTAGACACCTACCTCATCTCCCCTTACCCACAACTGGGAGAGATGAGTGTAGAGAGCACCATCACCTTGTCACATCTAGCCATCATGGTGACAGCAAGGATGAAGGCCCTGTAGAAGGAGGAAGCAGAAAGGATTACCATGAGGGACTGGAGGGACATGTGCTACTAACCTCACAGAGCAGTCATATCTGCAGAACTTCTGGGCCTGGGCCTAGGGAGACTGCTCAGCAGTTTGGAATACTCTTGGTGATCTGGCAGAGAGGGTCCAGGTTCAGTTCCTAATATACACAGGGTGGCTCACAACCACCTACCTACCTACACACACACACACACACACACACACACACACACATCCAGTTCCAGGGGATTCTACCACCCTCTTCTGGTACCAGGTATACGCATATAGCATATATGATGCAAATACATTCATGCAGGCAAAAATGCAAATTCTCAGAAAATAAAAATAATTTTTTAAAAACCTTCTTATACCAGGCATAGTGACCACCTTTAATCAGGGCCAGCACTCAGGAGGCAGAAGGAGTTGGATCTCTGAGTTTAAGGACAGCCTCGTTTACATAGCAACATATAGGTCAACCAGGACTATATAGGCCCTGTCTCAAAAATAAATAAATAAACAACAACAAAAACCAACTGCTTGGGCAGCCCAATCTACTAGATGTTTCATTGCCAACTAACTTCTCTGCTGACACATGGTTCCTAAGATAAAGATACAGACTGACATAAAAAAGGATGAAACATCCACCTGGCATCACTCTGTCGCTCTCCCACATCACCAGAATAGCTAAATTCCAACACTATGAATATAACTTTCCAGAAAATGGCCTTTTTGCCCAGAAAAGCTACATTTTAATCCTCAAGGATAGGGTCAGATGATAGAAGCAAGGAAAAGCACCCACTGCTCAAGGCAACCTCAGATCAATCCCGGGGTCAACATAAAAAGCCAGATGGCTGTGATCCCCCAAGACCTACCTTCAGAAGATAGGAAAGCCAGTGGAAGCTCCCGTGCCAGTAGGCAGCAGAAGCAAGAGAGACCCTGCTTCAAAATAAAGCAGGGGGCCCTGCCTTCAGAAGACAGGAAAGCCAGTGGAAGCTCCCGTGCCAGTAGGCAGCAGAAGCAAGAGAGACCCTGCTTCAAAATAAAGCAGGGGGCCTTGCCTTCAGAAGACAGGAAATCCATTGGAAGCTCCCGTGCCAGTAGGCAGCAGAAGCAAGAGAGACCCTGCCTCAAAATAAAGCAGGGGGCCCTGCCTTCAGAAGACAGGAAATCCATTGGAAGCTCCCGTGCCAGTAGGCAGCAGAAGCAAGAGAGACCCTGCCTCAAAATAAAGCAGGGGGCCCTGCCTTCGAGCCTGATGACTTGAGTCCCAGATCAGGTAGTGGAAGGAGAGAACCGTCGTCATCTTCTAATTTCCTTGGGAAAGCTGTGTCATATGCATGTACACATAAATCACTATAAATAAGTAAATAATGGGAAGAGAGAATTAACGTCTAATCTCAGCACATACATGGACACACACACAAACATATAAATGAATCTTTTTAAGAAAGTCTTCAAAGACACAATTATCATCATCCTATTTTTTTCCTGTTCCTAAAGCTTTGCTTATGAATATTTAGCTTAATAAAACCGCTCATATCACACATCTTCTTCAATTTCTTTCTTATTTTTAAATAAGTATGTACCATGGACTGTGTGGTGAATTTCAAAATTCATATAATGAACTCAGCTCCTGCTGGGATGACCTTCGGAGATAGGGCCTTTGGGAGGTGGTTGGACCAAGATGAGGTCTTCAAGGCGGGCTGCTGATGCTCATGATGGGATGGTACCCTGATGAGAGCGATTAGGTGTTCTGCTCTCTGTCCTGCGTTCTTAGAAAAGCACAGCAAGAGGCATTCATTCGAGCCCCCGGGAGGGTTCCTACCAAAATCTGGTTTCATGATCTTGGAATTGAACCTCCAAACAATAAGAAGTTAATTTTTGCCGTTTAAGCACCCAGTCTATGATGTCTTGCTACGGTACACTGAACTATGACATACACATTCCCTTTACCTTTGGATATAGACAACCGAGAGGAATGTATGAGTTGAAGAAGGTAGAAACACAATGCCCTGCTCTTCTAGACCTCTTCATGAGCTCTT